GACTTTAAATAAAACGAAAAAAATCGGATACTAAAAAGTGGTTTAACGCCGTTATTTTTTTGAAATGGAAGATAAGAGTCAAATTTTCGAATTCGGCGGAAAAATTTGCATAAGAAACATATTTGAAACATGGAAAAAAACTCAAAAAAATTAAAGTTTTTTATTTTTGAAAGTAGCTTTCTAGTCATTTTGAAACTCAAAAGTGATGTAACGCTGTTCTTTTTGCGATTTGTTCGATGATACCTGTATTTTTTTGAATTCACTGAAAAAAATTCTAAATAAGAAACTACTCTAAGAAATTTGAAAATGATGGAAATAAAGTTTTTTTTAATTTTTTTCATAGAAGGCTTTTTGGACCAGCCAAACTAGGGGTCAAAAAAATTTATTAAATTTCGTTTTTGCACTTTTCTGTTAAATTAATGCTTTCCATGCGTATATTTTGATCAAAGAAGGCGATAAAAAAAGGGTAAAAAAATACAAAAAAATAAGGTTTTTTTGAATATTTTTTTGAGAAGGGGTACAGTCAAATTCTTGATACGAAAAATGGTGTTTTTTTCCTTAATGAGCCATTTTTGTAGCCTGACATCACTGATAGGCAGGATTTCGCTTAAAATTGAAGAATATTTGACTTTTTTAAAATCAGTTATGAGATCCTGGGAACATGAAAAAAGTCTCGTTTTTTTTTCCTAAAGCTTCAGAAATCATCACCAGTGAGCTATTTTCAGTAGCTGTATAAGTCTTGGAATCATAATCGCGTTTTCCCGTTGAATTTATGGAAATTATCATCGGAGCGCCATTTCTCTTGGAACCATGATTTATCGCGGCTATTTTTTCCCGGCCTTTTTATAGATTTATTATCAGATTATTAGACCATAGCTATTTTTCTCAGTCAAAAGCTCTTGAAATTATCGTGAGAACCCTATTTTTCACTATCTTTCTTTCTCTCTTTTTCTTTCAACTTCAAAAGCCCTAAGAAGCCCATAAAAAGTGTGGAAAGGAGCTAAATCGTGCATGGAAAGCGAAAGAGAGAGAGCGAGAGAAGCTCATTTGCCTGGAGCCTGGAAAGAGAAAAATGGGGCGGAGCCTGTGTTTGGGGGAAAGCGATGGAGCAAGCTTGCTCCGACGCCAGCCGCCGCTTTTACTCCCCCTCTCCTCCAGGATATATGTGTACGTATACTACAACGTCGTCGCCGAGTCCACATCACGTCTTCTTTTTCATCTCTGCTTCTCTCACCCTCCCTCCCTCTCTCCTCTCTCTCTCTCTCTTGTTCGCCTTCTGCTCCCCGAACAGCTCCAGACCTTCTGTTTTAGCCTTTAGCCTTAGTTTTTTAGCGCTTTTTCCTGAATATTCTCCAATATTTTACCCTTTTCGGAGAGCTTTTCTGTTGATTTTTAGTGTTGGAAAGAAGGTCAAGGTCGATTTTTGCAAATTTTTAATTTTTCTTTTCAAGTTTAAGCATATTTTCGTTGATTTTTTGAGCTTGATAACAGTACGAGGTTATTTTTTTAGATTTTTTTCGAGTTTTAAACATTTTAGAAATTTTTTTAGCCTTTGAGGTCAGTTTTTTTGTGGTTTTTTTCATTCATTTTCGATTTTTTTAATCTGAAATTCGAACTCTAAAAAAATTCATTTTCTGTTAACTTTGTGAATAAAAAGAGATTATGATCAATTTTTTTGAACTTATCAAATTTTCAACATTTTTTTTAGTTTTTTTATGGTAGCTTTTCTGTTGATTTTTTTCTATTCTAAATCGATTTTTTTAATCATTTTTTTCCAAGCTCTTTGAGAAGCTTGAATGTATTTTTTTGAGCAGTTTTTTTCATCAATTTTTTTCGATTTGAAAGGATTAAAATGTTAAAAAAATGATTTTCAAAGTAATAAACAGCTTTTTCTAGGTATACAAGCTAACAGAATTTTTTTCAATTTTTCGCTCTTTTTAGTCTTAAAAAAATGAGATTTTGTAGATTGAATCTAAAAATAGGTTTCGTTTGTTTTTTTCGATTTGAAAGGATTAAAATGTTAAAATTTAATTTTACAGTACTCAACAGTTTTTTCTAGGTATATAAGCTTACATAATGGTTCTAATTTTGCTCTTTAAGTCTTAAACAATGAGTTTCAGTTGATTAATTTCTTTCAAGAAACGTTTTGGTTGTTTTTTTTTTTAGATTATTCTCCAAGTTCCAACTTTGTTTTGATCAAGTTCAGCTCTTGTTTTCCGTGGATTCGTACACTGTTCGATGTTTAAACTGTTGGGGTTTCGGGAGGATGCGATTCGTTGTGATTAATAGGGTTAGGAGAAGCTTTGAAACAACTTATTTTGATGTTTTTCTAATTTTTTTGTGGTTTTTTTGGACTTTTTTTAAATTCTGAGCTTTTTGTTTTTTTAATTTTTTTGTGAATTTTTTTGAACTGATGGTTTTGTATTGAGAAATGCTTTTTTTCAGATTTTTTTACTACAAAAATTATCTTTTTTTCAAGCTTTTTCTCTTGGTTTCTTGGATTGTATTGAATTTTCTGGATTTTCTAAAATTTTTTCTTTGGTTTCTTGGATTGTATTGGATTTTCGAGATTTTTTGGAATTCGTTTGTAAAAAATCTGTTGATCCATATATTTTTTTCAAGCCTGTTGAGGTTTTCTATAAATAAGAACCATTTTAACTCTGAATTTTTCGCTTTTTTCTCGAAGGAATAAGTTCTCCTTAAACGGATTAAGTATATCATGATGTTGGGGATTAAGGAAATTCAAAAGAAGTAGAACATGGATGAAAGGAATTTTTCAAATATAGAGGAAAAAAAAGCATAAAAACCTCTCTTAATGCTTTACATCACAAAAATCATGTTTTCCGGGAGTTAATATTCAAAAAATCGGGAAAATCAAGTTGCAAGTCAACTTTCGGTACATTCTATAAACCAAAAAAAACTTCAAAAGTAGTGGTTTTTGAGACAATTCATGAAATAGGCGTGGAAAACTGCATTTAGTGGATCCATTCTCATTCAGAATTCGATTAGAGATCACACAGTTTTTGAGCGGCGAAGCGATGTCGCGCGCGATGCCGCACAGTCTTCCAAACTTGTCAGATCGCTCTCTGTATGCTTTAGAAATGCCAAAAATTAAATTATTTTTGAAACTGCGATCTTTCAAACGTTTCATGTAGCAAAACTGTACTAAAACTCGAAAACAACAAAGCCCTTAAAGTTGTATTTGGCTGAAAGGAAATTTTGATTTAAAAAAATTAAATTTAATGGCCTTAGTTTCTCTAAATTGAAGATAAGAGACAAATTTTTTTGAATTCAGCGAGAAATTGTGTATAAGAAACAGCTTTGTAATGTTGAAAAAAACTTGAAAAAAATCAAAAATTTTTCCTTTTTTTACTCAGTCATTTCGGGACTTGAAAAAAAGGTATAACTTTGTTGGTTTCAAGAATTTTCTTGATGAATTTTATATTTTTGAATTCAGTGGAATTTTCTGAACAAGAAACTGCTTTTACGAAGTTTGAAAAAAAGATAAAAAAATAAGGATTTTTTGATTTTTCAAAGAAGGCTTGTTGGACCCGTCCGACTAGGTTTCTGAAAAATTTTTCGATTTTCGTTTTTGATTTTCATGTTAAATTATTGTTTATGGCAAGTATATATGTTAGAGGGAAGTTCTGAATCGGAAAAAAATAACGCAAAAAATTTGAAAATGACAGGATCAGTTCAAACCAGTCCAAAATCACGTCCGTAAAATTTTTTGAAAACTGTTTATTTTTTATTTTTCTTCGATATTGTCTGTTCTTAAACTTTTCAAATACTGAAAATCAAAAAAGACTGGGAAAATGAGCATTTTTCATACACCTATAATAGTCTATTGCTGCTTGGAAATTTTTTTTTTTGTCTTTTTTTCCATCTTTTCTCAATTCCAATCCTTTTCCATCGATTTATCTCGATATCTAATTTTTTTTTTTCACGCTTGAGAGCAAGTTTTTTGACCGTTTTGAGCTCATTTTTCTCATCACTCTCGACTTTTTAAATTATTTATATTGCTGCTTTTGGATTCCAACCCCAACCGCGTGGTCGATAATGGCTTTTTCGAAAGCCAAAAAGAATTATATTTTCTTTCTTTTTTTTCGGTTCGAGTTGGTGGTGGTGATGCCTCATAACAATAATATTTTCGACCCACCCGGCTCAATGGAAATTTTTTTTAAAGAGTTATTAATTTTAAATGGATTTTCCGGTTGATTTTTATTGCTTGAATGTTTTAAAAAAATGGCAAAAAAATCTGGAGGGGATCTAACCTTGGTAGTCAGGACGGAGTGCTTTAGCCACTGTACGGTTATTTTTGTTTTCTTGTGAATTTATCGGTTTTTTTCATAAGGTTTTTGATATTTCTTCCTTTTTTTAAAATTTTTCTTGTGATTTTAATTTTTTGAGGTTCTTTCTATCTAATAAATAGTGAAGCGAAAAATTTTAAAAGTCGATTTTTTGTGATTTTCGCATTGGAGCGCATTTTCTGAGCTTGATTTCCCAGCAGTTCTTTTTGAATTCTCTTAGGTAGACCCCTCTAGGGACCACTTAACCAACTCCTAAAGGGGCCACTAAAGCTTGCAAAAGTGGTCCCTATAGGGACTTTGTAGTCGATAACTTTTATGTACTGTATGCGAAGAAGCATTTCCATGCAAAAAATTAAATAAAAATGCGTTTTTGAATGAACTTGAAACACCCTATAGGGACCACTTGAGCTTTAAAAGCTTAGGAGACAGACCCTAAACCCCTATAGGGACCACTTTGAGCTTAAGGGGCTGAGTATTCAGACCCTAAACTCCATAGAGGAACCATCTTGATTTTAACCCTATAGCGGCCACTTTTTCGGTCCCTATAGGGGCTGTTTTTACCTCTCTAACCCCTATAGGGACCACTCAGAAAATCCCAAGATTTTTTTCCGAGTTATAATCGACTCCTTCGCTTTTTTAATCAACTGTAAAAAAAAAGAACCAACCCAAAAAAAATTCAAGCTCCATCAGATGCCGGACGTCGTCGGCGTAATGTTCGACGCCGAGCCGCCTCCAGAAGGCGTCGGAGGCGGCTTCGGAGAATTCGGGGAAGATTCAGACGACGTTGGGGTTGCAGATGGCCTGACGATGTGCCTCCTCTGCGTGACGAGTAAGCCAACGACTTCCAAAACTAGCTTACCTAGCCATGGATATGCTCACCTTGATTGTTTCAGTAAAGAAGGCGCGGCTCCTCGGCGGCGTTGGTTCGTTTTTTCTTTCTTTTCTGAAGACTTGGAAGGGCGGAACTTCTCTGACTTCTCTGCGCCCTCCTTATCTCTCGACGTCTCTCTCATGTTTACGTGCTATTTCCATTTTTCTCTGACCTTGTTGTTGAGGGAACAGAGAGACGTAGAGAAGCGAAAAATTGTCAAGCGGTGGATGGGCTATAAATCTTTTATAGTCTGTTCAAATTCCAAATGTCTGGTTCTCGCTCAAGCTCCGCCCCCTAATGACCCGATAAACCAATCAGAGAACGAGCCATCCACAGAGCGTTTTCGAATGACGTCATTCCACTTGACATTTAAAATCTGAACAGACTATAGCATTAGATTAGGGGTACAGGTACAGGTTTTCTAGGTTTTTTTCAAAAATATATTAAGGGTTCAGGTTTTCTAGATTTTTATTCTTTAGGTTCAGACCAAAAAAACTTTCGAGGACATGGAAATGCTACAGTCAAATTTTTGTATTTTTTTTGTCAATTTTTTTAAAAATTTTGTACATAGTTAAGTCCAATAAAACAGTAAGAAGGGTGAGAAGGTAATGTGAGAAAAAAATTGTACAAAAAAACAAAGAAGGTTCAATGAAAACTTGAAAAAAATAAAGTAAAAAAATAGATTTTCATAGATCTTTAGAGCAAAAAAACGGTCAAAATGGTCATTCTAGTCAAGTTTTTATTTTTCTAATTTTTTTCATGGAAAAAAATTGATTACAAAAAGAGAATTGATTATACAAACGGTTGTGAAAAAAAGCCTCAAAAAAAGAAGGAATTTGAACCCCCAAAGTCAAAGAAGACCTTCGAAATTTGTCAAAAGGCCATTTTCAAGGCTTTCAGACCTTGTTTCTCGGGAACTAGGAAGTTTTGCAGATTGAGACTTTCAAAAATCTTCTTTGGGTATTTCCAGAAGTGTTCTGGCCAATTTTTTTAGAAAGTTCCCAACCAAAGTAAAATTACCCCCCGTCAGGTTTCCATAAGATTTTCGATTTTCCCGTACCTAACCTCATTTCGTCCAAACTCCCATGTCATAACTTCCCACTCATCTCAGTTTGGACGACGAAATTCCAAAAACGAAGTGAAGTTGAGGTCAGAAGACTCACGTAGATGATTGCTCCAAGGACAACGATGGTCCCCCTGGGGATCGCCATGAGTGTTGTTGTCCTCGGAGTTTTTTAACCTTTCCTCGTGACGCCTTCCTTTCTGAGCTGCACTGAAAAAAGGGACGAGAAAAAAGGTTTTTTAGCCATGGAGCGCACTTGTGAATGATGCCAAGGCGGTTTTTTCTTGTTCCATAGATTTTTTTGGTCAGTGGAGGAAAATTGATCATTTGAAGGTTTTATAACTTTAGAAGTCAAACTAGACTCTAGTTTTGAGGAATTCTGAACCTTTAGTTTTTTTTTCTTTGTGAAAGGCATATTTAACGGGATCGAGATGGTATTTTATCGTTTTTTTTTGTGATAAATGTTGAAAATACCCTCTAGGGACCACTTCATCAACCCCTATAGGGGCCAGTAAAGCTTGCAAAAGTGGTCCCTATAGGGGACATGCTAGTCGAGCGAAGAAGCATAGGGAAAACTGAATAAATAAGCGTTTTTGAATGAACTTGAGAAACCCCTATAGGGTCCACTTAGCTTCAGCTTTAGGGGCTAAGGGGTGTCCGACCTTAAACCCCTATAGGGACCACTTTAATTTCACCCCTATAACGACCACTTTTACGGCCCCTATACGGGTCATTTTCTTCCTAACCCCTATAGGGTTCACTTGAGCTTTAGGGGCTAAGGGGTGTCAGACCTTAAACCCCTATAGGGACCACTTTAGGCTTTCCTCTATAGGTGCCACTTTTTCGGCTCCTTACCCTATAGGGACTACTGAGATTTGAATTTTTAAGATTTTTAATTTTCCTTTTTTCGAACCCTAACCCCTATAGGGACCACTCTGACATTTCTAAGAAGGAGGATTAATAGGAATTCGGGAATTATTCCATTGGAGCGTACTTGATTGATTTTTCAGCCTTTTTATCCATGGAGCGCGTTTGAAAAGAGAGCTATTTTCTGCAAAAAACCAAAAACTTTGACTTTTCGACCAATTTTTTCATTCAATAGACTGCAACTTTTTTTTTCCCCGTTAAACTTGCTCCATTTGAAAACTTCTCTTTCTTGTCTGTTCTCATTGAATTGTTAGCCCACGTGTTCCGAACGACGGAAAAAAAAACGATTGCCAAAAAAAAAAGGAAGGCTAAAAAAATAGAAGAGAAAAGGGAGAGAAGAGGCTAACAAGGAAATTGTTTTTGCCACGCTGAAAAAGAAAATGACGTCGGTACAAATTTTTTAAGGGATCTTCTTAGTGGTTTCATTTACTCCCGTGGTGAAAAATTGATCAATTTTGGACAGAGCGGCTTTTTTTTAACGTCAGTTTTGCTCTGTGGACAATTTCGGCAACTTTTCGATTTATAAAAAAAAAGAGAAAAAAAGAAAATTTCAAAAAGTATGTATTCCGAACGTCGAAAACGCTCTGTTATTGACAATTTTTGAAATCTTCCCGTTTTTTGATGTCCATATTGTAGATTCCAATGAGAAATTCAAATCAGAACGGACTTTTTTTCCCCCGGCGAGAAATTTTGAAGTTGGTTAATGTTTAATGAACTTCCTGGAAAGGTTCAGATTGAGAAAAAGATGAAAGTTAGGGGATTTTTTTGAGTTTTTTTGAGGGATTTTTTTAAAATGTAAAAAAATCGGTATGATGAACTTTTTAAAAAAACGAAATATTTTATTTTTTTCAAAGTTGGAATTTGATCAAAATCTCTATGTTGATCATCTTAACTGAAGCGCTATGGTCACCTGCGCAAGTCGTTTCTGGTCGGGCAAGCCTCAAAGAAACCTTTAAGCCATTCAAAATGCGACCTTCAAGTAAGCTTCTGAAAAAAATTTGATATAGCCAAGATAAATAGGACTTTGAAAGTAGATTGAAACTGTCATGTCAGCGGATAGTCAAACATTTCTTTTTTTCAATGCAGAGGTAATTTCCCCTGTTTCCTCAATTTTCAAGCCGTGATAATCCTGAATCGTACAGACGAATTCAACACCTACGTCACAGTGAAACTCCAAAATGTCAAGTCGACAACGGTGGCCGTACGTGGCAACGTTCCATGCTGGGAGCAGGAGTTTATTTTGTCAGTTTCATTTTTCTTTTTCTGAAAATGAAGTTTTTACATTTTTATGAAATGTTGGCTTCGTTACTTCTTATAAAAAAATTGAAAGTCGAAAAATTTTTTTACTAACACAGGAGACCTCAAAAAGGCCTTAAAAAGAGCCTGAAGCTCCGTTTTGAGTTCTAAAAAAGGTGTCAAAAGTTTCTCAGAATTTTTTTTTCCGCCTTCCTTTTTACACGTTCAGAAAAAGGTCCAGTGGCCTTAAAAAAATTTTTTGCAAAAGTCTTTTTTTGAGGCCTTTTTGGACCTTGCCCGTGATAGAGAAGTAGTTCTTGTAGATCCAATTTTTGATGATTTTTGGTTTTATCTTCAATTAGTAAGTTTTTTTCATCTCAAAGTTCACTCGAAAAGAATTTCTGATTTTTGAAAACCCAAAAAAAGGTTGAAAAATTGTCCTGGTCACTTTTCTCAGCCTTTCTCTCGATTTTTCAAGGTTTCTAGTTTTTAGTGGGAATTTTCAAGTTTTCAAGGAAAAGATATGGTCTTAAGGGTCTTATTGATCACGTAGAAGCATCAAGAATCTCAGAAAGTCTGAATTTTTCTAAACAAGAAAAAGTTTTAAGCGATTTTTCCGGCTTTCCATTGATTTTTCCAGGTATTGATCAAGATTTCTGTGTTCAAGCTTCTTTGGCTTTTTTCACAGGCGAAATTTTGGAAAAAAAGCCTCTAAAAAGCCTCAAAAACACCTTTTTCCCTTAACCTTTTTTTGAAAAGGACGTTTTAAGGAAGAATAAAAAAATGAGGCGATGAAAAGGGGAAAAAAGGAGATTCCGAGAAATTTTCGACACCTTTTTAGGAGCTTCAGACTCTTCTTTATGAGGCCTTTTTGGATTTTTCCTGTATAAAGGCTCATATTTTTCTGAATTTTCAGTGAAACGAACCGATTGGACGAGGGAATGGTGCTGGAACTGTGGGCGAAGGGCGTTTTGTGGGACAAGCTGATCGGCGTCCATTATATGCCTTTAACGGATGTCAAATATAGGTTTGTAGGATTTTTATTTGAATTTTGGACTGATAGAATAAAAACAGATATGAATTGATATAAATTTTGGTTTCATATGGCTATTTTTTCGGAAAAACTGTCATTGAAAAATTGGGAATCATGCAGATTTTCCAATTTTCGTAATTTTAATGAATTCTTTTTGCGAATTCGAAACCTTTCCCGTTAATTGGAGTCGAAGAAGAATAATCTATTTTAAAAACAATTTTGGAGCGAAAATTGAAATTTCAATGATTTTTTTCCAAAGTATTGGAGTTTTTAGGGACAAAATTGACCCAAAACAAGGAAAAATCAATATTTCGAAACCCAAGGGGATCTTGAAGATACCAGATGGTTCTTCATGAAAGAAGGCCCTCTGAAAATGAAAAAAACACTTTACTTTATCCGATTCTGATCATTTTTAGTCGAGATATGAGTTTTTGAAGTTTTGCGTGAAAAAATTGACCTAAAGTAAGGAAAAATCGATATTTTGAGAATTGAATAGGTTTTAAAAGTTTCAGATGGTTCTATATAGAAGACGACCTTTTGAGATCAATGAAAAACTTTGCTGCACCCGATTCTGAGCATTTTGAGCCGAGAAATAAATCTTTGAAGTTTTGAGAGACAAAATTGACCCAAAATTAGAAAAAAATCGATATTTAGAGCACCCAATAGTTTTTTGCAGGTATTGAATGGCTCTTAATGAAGAAGACTCTTCTTAAAATGAAAAACCAGTTTACTTTATCCGATTCTGAGCATTTTTAGTCAAGTTATGAATTTTTGAAGTTTCGAGTGACAAAATTGACCCAAAATAAGGAAAAATCGATGTTATAGGAATCCAATGGAATTTCAAAAAGTATACAATAGTTTCATATGAAATAAGACCCTCTGGAAAAAGATAAAAACACTTCATTTTGCCCGATTCTGAGCTTTTTGAGCCGAGATATGAATTTTTGAATTTGTAAGTGACATAATTGACCCAAAACAAGGAAAATCGATATTTCGAGAACCCAATGGGTTTTTGAAGGTACCAGATGGTTTCATGTGGAAGTAGACTCTCTGAAAATGATAAAACACTTTATTTTACCCGATTCTGAGCTTTTTGAGTCGAGATATGAATTTTTGAAGTTTTGAGGGACAAATTTGACTGACAGGGAGGAAAAGTCGATATTTCGAGAACCCAATGGGATCTTGAAGGTACCAGATAGTTTAATATGAAAGAGAACATCTGAAAAATGTTTAAAAAAACTTTACTGAACCCGAGTATTTTAAGTCGAGAGTGCCTTTTGCCTCGTTTAACGATGGCTGCATTAAAAACGGCCCCGTAAATTTTGGCAGAGACGAATTTTTTTATTTTATTGTTTTAAAAATTATTGTTACTTGAATTATAATCATTGTTCAAAAAAAGAGTGCGCACGACCTGAAAACACATGAAAAAGCAAAAAATCACAAAATTTTTTAGTTCCTTTCTTTTTTTTTGTACGACATTCCGCGAGAACGCATCAAAAAAGCGTGAAATATTTTTTTAAACGAAAGAGGAAGCTTTTCTGTACACATGTGTCAAAATTTATTATCCATTTCCTCAAATTTCGCAACTACAACAAAATGAAAGTTGAAAACCAAAAAAAAGCCACTTTTTCTATCGCGAAAAGGGGCGTGGCTTTACGGTTCCTACCTGAAGGACTATGAAGAGAAAAACGATTTTTGACAATTACAGTAACCTGGCTGGAGAGGGAAAATGGCTACAAATGGACCACGAACTGGAGACGAGAAATGGGCAGACGGTTGGTACCAGGGGACCCACCGGCCACAATCTTCTCGTCGATGTTCATTTCGAGCTTCCTTTCGGTCAGTTTTTTCCCATTTTCTGTATTAATTTTCTTTTCGGTTTTTTTTTCGGCTGGACTTTTTGATCATTGGAATTTTCAAGGTTGAAGGGATTATTTGAGTGTTTTCCTGGGAGCATGTTTGCGTTTATCAGTGGAGCACTTTTGTAGAGCAATTAAGAGCCGTCAAATTTTTTAATCCTTGCTTTTTGGCAACGGATCTGTGAACACTTGAATACGATCAGAAATTATCAATAAGTTTTTGTTTTGACAAATTATTGTTATTTTATCAATAGAGCACAATTTCAAGGTTTACCAGCCTTTTGGCTGTTTCTATGGGTTTTTTCGACGATTGAAACTTGATTTTATCCGTAGAGCGCAACTGTTCGTTTTGAAATAGCTCGTATTCTGGAATTTTTTTTTTGCTGGAAAATATTCGAAATTAAGGATAGAGGGGCTGTAGAGCCAAGAAGTAGCTTTCAAATTTTTTCTTCTTTCTTAAATTTTTTTAAAAGCTTGATTTTATCCGTAGAGCGCATTTTGAGCGTGAAAGTAGCTTAGAGCTTTTTCTACGTTTTTTTGACGATTGAAGGTTGATTTTATCCGTAGAGCGCAACTGTTACTTTTAAAATAGCTCGAAGGTTGGAAAAAAATTTTTTTTTTGATGGAAAGCTTTGAAATTACTGATAGAGTGCCTGTAGAACCAATAAATAGCTTTCGGACTTTTTTCAGATTTTTAAAAGCTTGATTTTATCCGTAGAGCGCATTATGAGCCGAAAAATGGCTGTTAGATCTTTTTACGTTTTTTTTTGACGATGGAAGGTTGATTTTATCCGTAGAGCGCAACTGTTAGTTTTGAAATAGCTCGTAGGTTAGAACGCAGTTTTTTTCTAGTAAGACCTCTAAATCAGCGATAGAGTGCTTGTGAAAACACAAATTAGCTCCCAGTCTCGTTTTTTTTCTTTTTCAAATGGTAAAAAAAGAAATTATCCGTGGAGCGCAACTGTTCGTTTTGAAATAGCCCGTAGACAGCTTTGAAGTTTTCTTATGTTTTTTTTTCTATTGTGGGAAGCTTAGATTCATCTAAGCTCAATTTTGAGACTCTGGAGAACCTTCAGGTCTGATCAAAGCTGCTTTAACTAGAAAAAGCTGAATATTATCAGCAGAGCGCAACAAAAGGATGAGAAATAGCCGTCAGTCCCATCTAAATATGATTTTTGATTCCGAAGAATTCAATTTTGTCCGTTGATCGCTATAATAAGATTCCGAAGAGCTTTAAGACTGGTTCGGAGTTATTTCAACGAGAAAAGAACAAGTTTTTCACAAGGAAGGTTATTTTACTTTGCGGTTCCAGAAAATTGGTCAGAACACTTTTCAATGTACCGGATGAAGTCTCACGTCCTATTTTTTGAGTGAGGACGCCTTGAAGTAAAGGAAGAACTTCAAAATCCGTATAAATAGGCTATTTTTGGTCTCTGAGCTCACCTTTTTCAAAAACTAAGGTCTTGGGCAGATTACGGCTTTTAGGATCTTCATTAGGTACATCTGAAGTGATCTGGCCAATTTTCAAGCAATCCCAACCTCCCTTGTCAGTAAATCCTAACCGAACAGACTTGAGTTCCATCTCGACGTGTTTTGACGGCAACAAAAGCTCGGTCGGACTCCTCAACAGAGCCCACTTGTCAGTCTTTAAAAAAGGAGCCTGGTGTTTCCCGAAAGAGGAGAATGATGAAGATGAAGACGGAACACACAGACGCTCACTCAGACAGAGCGCTTGTTGTTGTTCGGTTTTGAGCCTTCTTCCTTCCCCCTTCAACAACGACGACGACGACGACGATGATTGACACCGCCGGCCTCTTTTTCGGCTTCGATTTCTTTCTTTTTCGCCTTTTTCGTAAAATGGCAATTTTCTCCTTGATATGTTTTCATTACGTAGCTCTTGAATTTTCAAAAATTATGGAATCGTGAAATTTCATTGGAGCGCACTTGCAAGGCTGATTTTTCTTGGTTCCATTTTCTGCTCCTTATTGATTGATTTTTCGACTCAAGGCCAATTTGTCATTGGAGCACATTTGAGATGCCTTTCTTCGCTCTTTTGTGTTTTTTTTTAGTTCTAGTTATGTAGGGTATAGTGAATATTGATCTTTTTATCATTGGAGCGCACTTGAGAGGCTTTAAGCGGCTATTTTTTCTCTCCACTCTTGGAGACTTTTTTTTCAAAATGACATGGTTTTCTGTTGGTTTTGAACACTATTTGTCTCTTGAAAGTTGAAATTTCGAAAAAGTAATTTTGTCTGTTTTTTCCTCAATAGCTTTTTTTCGCATATTTTGGTTCTACTATTGTAGGCTATAGTGAAAAATGACCATTTTATCATTGGAGCGCACTTGAGAGGCTCTAGGCGTTTTTTTTTGTGGTCCATTCTTGGAGGCATTTTTTGAAATAAAAAAAAACTTTTTTTGGAGATTTCGTTTTCTCTGGTTCTAAACACAAATTGTGCCTTGAAAATTGAAATTTCAAAACTTAATTTTGCCTGTTTTTTCCTCAATAGCTTCTTTCCGCATATTATGGCTGTACTATTGTAGGATATAGTCAATATTGATCTTTTTATCATTGGAGCGCACTTCAGAAGCTCTGGGCGGCTATTTTTTCTGTCGGCTTTTTGGAGGCTTTTTTTCAATTTCTTTTCTTTGAATATTTGTTTTCTTTTAGTTTTGAACACTATTTGTGTCTTGAAAATTGGAATTTTAAGACGTAATTTTCCTTTTTTTTTTTCCTCAATAGCTTCTTTCTGCATAATTTGGTGTACAAAATAGTGAATAATAGGCATTTTATCCGTGGAGCGCACTTGAGAGGCTCTGAGTGGCTATTTCTTCTCTTCGAACTATATTGGTAACGCGAAACGGACGTGCTCCGGACGTTTCTGGGCGATTCTAGGGATCACTTAAGAATGCTGCGGCTACTAAAGTGGTCACTAGAAATGCCCCGACACGTCCGATTCGCGTCCCGTTCGCGTTTCCAAGGTCTGAGAAGTTTTCGAATAATTCAAAAAAAAAAAAAAAACAGTGATTTTAGATATCTCTCAACACTAAATTCAATACTTTTGAGTAGATTCTAGCGTCTGATTTTTGTTTTAATAAGCTTTTTCGGGTTTCTGAAGGTTTTTTCCTGAAAATAGGTATTTCATGATCATTTTTATCATTGGAGCGTATTTGAAAGAGTGATAGGCTTTTTTGTCGAGAACGTTTTTTTTTCAAAATTAATGAGGGAGGTAAATTATGAGAAACCCTCTAGGCGCCTTTTTTTCCTAAATTCCAATTTCGAAAGACTCCTGGAAATTCGTTCATTTCGGCTCTCGATTCCGAAATTCATATTGCAATCAAATGAGGAACAGAAATTGATGGTGGATTCTGTGAACAAGGAGAAAAAAAAAATAAATAAGGAAAGAGCAAGAGAGCAATCATGTATTGAGCACAAACACACACGCGACGACGAGCCCGGAGCATCGGTCTAATTATCTCCAGCTCTTCTTTTTTTCCCTTTTCTTTTATTTCCCCTTTGTTTTAACAGTTTTACAAACAATTAGAAGTGTAGAAGAGGTTGGAAATAATAGCCGCGATAAAGTTCGAACCTTATGCGCTCCATGGCTAATACTTGAAAAATTGGGGGAGCCTCCTAAAATTAGCCTCAGAACAAGTTTTTTTGATGACCACGGCTGTTTTTTCTCACCGAGCCTTTGAAAAAATGTACTAATAACGATATTTTTGGTCTGGAATACAAATTTAAAAAATTCTTTCTTTTTCCCAAAAATAAGGGTCTCGCAACGATTTTTTTTTTTTGTGAAAATGAACCGTTTCTACATTGATTTCCCTTTTCAGTGTAGTGTTAAATTCCCAAATATGAAACTTTTACTGATCGACACTTGGCGCCAATTTAAAAATTATCTTCAGTTGATCACGATATAATTTTAATATGGAGAATATTTCTGAGCTGATATTTTTGAAAATTCGAACCCGTATTGCTTTTTACGGACTTAGGAGCTTCCGAAGCACTTGAAAGCGCATTGCTCATGTCAGAGGGGTGTTCACGCGAAAAATTTTCATATTGCTCATGTTAGATGTTTTTTTAATTTGAAAAAAAAGTTTGTCCCCATTGCTCATGTTAACTATTTCTAGCTGATAATTACAATTGAACGTTTTTAAAATCTAAATAAGGACAATACAGAGCGCAAAAAGGGCAATTAACCGCACGAGTGGCCATTTTTTTCTCCCTTCGTTTTGCCCCTCGGCTAATTTGTGCATTTGCTCTCTTCATCTGAACCTCTCTCTCTCAATTTCTAGTCTCTCAAAGCCACGCCCCTTTCTTTTCTTCCTCTTTTTGTCCTGTGGGAAAACGGCAAAAGAAAATAGCTTTTCGTACTTATTTTATCGCTTTTTTTTTGGGATAGAATGATTATTTCGATATGATCTCAAAAAAATAATTTTTTTTGATCAATTTAAAAAAATCAATCGCGGGTAGATGAAAGGTTCATTAGTCATTTTATTAATTTATCCTAAATTGAAATTTTTTTCAAGTGATCGTTTTTTTCCAAACGTCCGTCTTGGTTTACTCTAAAGCTTCTCACAAAAAAATTCACACTTTTTTTCGAAAAAAATTTTTCAAGATATTCCCCCTGATTTATTGAAAAAAATTCGATTTCTTATCATTTCGATCATTGGAAAAAAATATTAATTATCAAAAATTCAATCTTGATTTGTCACTTTATTTTTGAATTTTGAACTTTTCTTCTTGAATTTCAATTAAAAGCCATATTTTAAGATCCTTTCGTGCTCCATCGATAAATTCCGCTTTTCTTCCCGTTTATTTGTAGGCATTCTTTTAATGGAGATCTTCTCTTCTCACTTGTTTTTCACGCCATTTTCCCCCCTAAATAATGAATAGAGAATGGAATTTATAACATCTGAAAAGAGAGGCCTATTTTCCTCAATCTTCAAGCTTCAAAATGATGGAATTAGTATCATTTTTTCTTGCTTGATTTCAATAGGAAAATAAAAGGAAAAGAGATCTCGTACACGTTCTTTTTTTTTCATTTTCTTCTTGCCGATATTGCCGCCGCCGACGCCCCAAAGCAGCAAATTGGAGCATTTTGTGCTCTTTTCGTCTCGTGGGGGAGTGCCGCTTTCTTTTTTTCTTTTTTGATTTCTCTCTTTGACGTTGGTCTCTCGTCTTGCCTTTTATTTTTTTTTCCCTCCAGAAACAGCTTTTTTGGATTTTGTTGCTCTATTGATAAGTTGCATTAACTTCTTATGAATGCTCGGCGTTTCTAGTGACCACTTTAGTAGCGTTACTGGGAACATTTTTAGTGGCCACTATAGAGGCAAGGACTACTTGGAGAAGACACTAAAGTGGCCACTATTTCCCGTTTTAGTGGCCACTTCAGTAGTTTTTTATCCAGGTTTCCTTCCAGTAACTCTGATAATTTCAAAACAAACAGATTGGTCCAGTTATGTTGATCCATTGACCCCTAGAGTGGCCACTAATGTTTTTCCTGGTCTAGTAGGAGCACTTAGACCTCTATAGTGGCCACTATTTTCCGTTTTAGTGGCCACTTCAGTAGTTTTTTATCCAGGTTTCCTTCCAGTAACTCTGATAATCTTAAAACAAACAGATTGGACCAGTTATGTTGATCCATTGACCCCTAAAGTGGCCACTAAAATTTTTAGTGGTCTAGTAGTAGCATTTAGACCTCTATAGTGGTCACTAACTTTTAACTCCTTAAGTGACCACTAATTTGACTACTATAGAGGCCACTAAAACGTCGAAACCCTATAGGGGCCACTAAACATTTTCTCAGTTAGTGCACTTAAGTGATCCCTAGAAATTCTCAGAAACGTCCAGAGCACGTCCATTTTGCGTTACCAATGTCAAAAAAATTCTCGATCGATAAGTTTTAAGATTTTTTTAGTGGTCCTGATTCACGCGTCTAGTAGAGGCTATTTTTTATCGAAACTCGAATTAAAAAAAAAATGCTTCATAACTAAAATTTAGTTACTTTTCCAGCATGGATCATTTTATTAATTCAGTTGTGCGATTTAATTATGGAAACTTCACTTGAACATTATTCTCGATGAAAGTCAACCATCATATGAAGTTGAATCAGGAATCCGATTTTGTTGAATAAAAAGTCCGAAATTTTGCTTCAAGATTTTTTTTTCTCAATAAAAGTCTACGTTATTAAGTTAAACAAGGATATATTTTTTTGTGATTCAAAAATGAAAAAAGAGAAAAATCTGAAAAAGTACTGATACCCAGGCCAAAGAAAGGGAAAGAAAGGGCTATTCCCGGACTTCAATTTTCGTCCGTGTTTTTGATGGCTCCGTCACCTTGGTGTTTCGTTTTCAGTTCCATTTTTTATTTTCAATCCCACTTTCTCTTTCGTTTTCTCTTCTCTGACAGGTGCTTTTCCTCGAGTTTTACCTTGGATTTTAGATTATTTTTTTGCCTACCCACACACTTTTTTGTAGTCAAACTTGAGTTTGACGTTTCAAATTTGTCGATCGATATAAAAAAGACCAGTTTTCGGAATTTTTTCTTTCATTTTCTTTGGAATTATTATGAACATGGTATAATCAGAAAGAGGTATTTTATCGATTTTTAGTGATCTTTCTTGAAAAATATTCAAGTGGAGTACATAAGATGATTTTTTGAGTGACTCCTATATCATTTCACTTAATTTTTCTCCCAAGGTTATTTTTGTATCTTCCTTCAAATACGCCAAGTCCAAAACCACAAAAAATTGCGAGCAAAAATAAAAGTTTGGCGGGGGTCCAGGAGATAAATAGCCATCTGGCAGAGTATGGACGAGAATTTTCGCCCAATTTTTCTCTTTTCTCTTGAGTTTTTATTCGTATGTTCTATGATTGGCAACTTGATAACAGAAAAGTTCCTTGAGAAGCTTTTTTGAAATTATTTGGACTTCGAAATTCAAGTCAAACCTTTTTCACAGACCATCTTGTGGTTTTTAGTAATGTTTTGAAATTTAAAAAAAAAAAGCTAAATGTTTTCTTAGGAAATTTTTATAGATCAATACTTTCTCAAAATTTCCTCGCTTGAAAGCTGCTTGTGGGCGGCACCTCAACCCACTGACGAAAAAAAACTGTTCGAAGTTTACTGATAAACCTCTCGCCTGTTGTCCGTTCCTTTGAAACTCGTCACACAGCCGGCCGGAAACATTATTTTTTTTCTTCTTTTTTTTCGGTGGACGGAGCTGCGATCTGCTCACTTATTCATTACATCTGCTCCGGACCTCCCCTTCGCCTCCAATTTCTTCTTTTCTCGCCCTCCTTTTTTTTTACATTTCCTTCATTTCATGTTTGTTTGTGATCCTTTATTTGAACCTATATTTTATGGATGAATTTGAAAATGAGTTTTTTTTTTTACTTAATTTCGAATTTCGTATATTTCACTTGAAAAACGTTGATCTGCGTCGTCTTTCTCTTACCGGCTGGGTCAGAGAAACGTGCAAATAGTGTGTGAAGATGTGAGAGAAACCAAGAGAGAAAAGAGCGCAGAGAAACCAGACAGTTCGCCAAATTTTTAGGCAGTTCCGGAAAACTTTTAAGCAGCGCCCAAGTTATTCCTGAGAATAAAGCAGCGCCTCGAAGTTTTAAAGGCATAGGGGCAGTAAAAAATGGGGTTTCAGGTGAAAGCAGTATCTTGTATAGTTTTTCTTTGCGAATCCAACGGTGTACTCAAAAAAATTACAAATGTGACATCTCTAGTAGAAAAACGCAATTTCACTTTCGCGCCTTTAGTTTTGAAAAAAGCTTTGGATCGGTGCTCAGACAACTGATTACAGTAGCTGTGCACGCGATGTTGCGGACGTCTCATTAGACTCGCATTTTTATGAGAAATAACCGGATATCTGCTTCAAATGAATGGTTTCTTCTCTGAAAAAAATCGATTAAGAAAAACAGAAAAACACACATTGATAATAAAGAAAAACACAAATTAACGCTATCCCAATCGAAACCTGTGTAAAAATCATCATTTTTTTCACCAGAAAAAGCATTTTTGCGATCAAAGTTTGCAAATTATACATGAATAGAAAGCTGTTGTGACGAAAAAGAACTTTGGTAACAACAGAAAAAAATTTAAATTTGTAAGAAACGAAGAAAAAAAGCGAAAAATCCGGAAGATGGCGAAGCCTGTTGTCCATAGAGCAACTTTACTGCAAAGCGCACTTTTCGCGGGAACTCAAGCTTTCCTTTCTCCGATTTTGAAGTATTTTTTCTTCAAAACTAGGAAGTTCGGTACGTTCCCAAGTTTGCCGTTCGATTCGCAATTAAAAACTTTACAAAGTACTGCTTTGAACTGAAACACCGTTTTTTACTGCCCCTATGCCTTTAAGCAGCGCCTAGAAGTTTTAAGCAGCGCCTAGAAGTTTTAAGCAGCGCCTCGAAGTTTTAAGCAGCGCCTAGAAGTTTTAAGCAGCGCCTGGAAATTTTAAGCAGCGCCTGAATATCTTAAGCAGCGCCTAGAAGTTTCAAGCAGCGCCTAAAAGTTTTAAGCAGCGCCTGAATATCTTAAGCAGCGCCTCGAAGTTTTAAGCAGCGCCCAAGGTTTCCAAGTATTGTCTGAGAATTAAGCAGCGCCTGAATATCTTAAGCAGCGCCTAGAAGTTTCAAGCAGCGCCTAAAAGTTTAAGCAGCGCCTGAATATCTTAAGCAGCGCCTCGAAGTTTTAAGCAGCGCCTAAAAGTTTTAAGCAGCGCCTGAATATCTTAAGCAGCGCCTAAGTCTTCTAGGCAGTGCCTAAAAATTTTAAACAGCCCCCCCCTTTTTTTTTATGAGAAATCTTCTTATTCTGAATCTCGAATCTGCACTTTTCTCACTGCCTATCTTTTCCCAAAAAGGTTGATTCGCGAATCCTATATTCTTCCCATCTGCTCATGAGTTGCTTGAAAATTCATGGAAAAAGTGCACTTCCGTTGGAAAATGAGAAACAGAGAGAACGCGTAGAGTTCATCTTTTTTCGAACAAGAACTTTCTTGAAAACAAGAAAATAAGCGTTTCTACATTTTCAGACGCCCAAGGAGAAGATGGCGAAGAGCTGCAGGCCAAGCTGTTAGCTCTAAATGGTCTCATCGAACACGTGAGTTTTTTTTCCCCCGGATTTTCTACAGCAAATACGATTTTCTAGGACCAACTCGTACCTAATCACCGGGCGCCATTGAATCACTGTGAGTTTTTCTTTTTGAAGTTTATTTTGGCTTTTTGTAAAGTTAAGAATTGGATCCGAGTTGGGTAATTTTAGCTGTTTCCACCTTGACCTGACTCCCATCAGTTTCTATGCTCAATTTTTGGAAGCTGCTTTCAGTTGACTCTGCTTTTTTTGAACAAATTTTCCATAATTCCATCATTAAGTTTCCCATAAATAAGGAAATCTTCATTTTTCAGCCGGCGTGTCGGAGGACAGCGACTACACCTCAGACGTCTCATTTCCAATCAATCCGCACCATCAGCAGCAGGCCAATAGTTCGGCCCATCAGTGGGACTCCCACCTACATCCCTACCGCCATCGGCACACGGCTCGTGAGACCGCAGTAAGCTTCTTTTTTCTTTTGTAACTGATGGGAATGACACAACTATTGATGAATATTGATCCGATTTTGGTTTGTACCGACGCTTCAGACGTTGCAGGCGAGTTATGAAGACGATGAGGACGCCTATCACGCGCGGACCTACGACGACGACGAAGAAGACTACGACCGCGACGCCTATCAGACGCCCTACAGTAACCACTACGGTAAGATCTTTTTCTTTCATAAAGTTTAACTCTGCTGAATATGAGCTTTGAGTAGAAAATACCATATTTTGAAGCTTTTGATTGCCTCCTATAGGGGTCCCTAAAACAAGTATCCCCTATAAGGACCCCTCAGAAATTTCTCGCTATTTCGAAGCTTTTTCTTGCTTTTCTAACTGCCTACTTTTAATTGAATGAATTTTCTCATGTTTCGAGATTTTTCGGGGATTTTCTGTGCCATGAAACGTTCCGAATTGAATGCTGAAATTCAAAAAAAATTCCTTTTTTTTTCAAGCCCATTTTCAAGGGGGGTTGGGAATTAGCCGGATTCGCTGTGTACTATTTCGTTTCATTTACACCGAAAACAAGAATCAGCATTCATTGAATGAATCTCAATGGAAATCCGGTTAGAAATCGAGTTTGCTCGCTCGTGGCGGGAAGCTCTCCAATCAAGGCGCCGCCGTAACTAAAACAATTGCTTTGGTGTCGTAACGACAAATTTTTCCTTTTTTTTTGCTTGGTTGCTCTGGAGGGGAGTCCCATCAACAGTGCAGGGTTGACAAAAATTTGAAAATTTTGATTTTTTTTTTTTGGGTCAGTGGCCCAACTTGTTGGGGGCTTATGATTGGGACAGAATTTTCCATATATATTTTAAAAAAAGTTTTGGATTGTTAATAGCGTAGTGTGATTCATCAAAGCTAAGGCTCTCGGCCAGTTTTCGCAATTTCAGAAAAAGCATTTTTCCCAAAGAAAAGCAGTTTCCTGAAATATATTGTTATGATTATTTACTGTGTATACTGTAATTATACTGTAATTTTTTCTGTATATGCTGTAATTATACTGTAATTTTTTCAGACAAACCGACCTACGACGAAAGTCCGACCCCAGTAACAGAGTACGGGGCCGCGACAACGTCGACGTCAAGATCAGAGACGGCGGCGGCGGCTGCGACGTCGTCGTCGTCGCGCCGTCGCTACGACATCGACGAGGACGACGACGAGGTGACGACGACTGGCGTCGCCGCGATTCTGCCCTCCTCGTCGCGGTCGCGCTTCACAACAGGTTACGGTACTCCGCCGTCGACTAGCAGTAGTCGTTATGACGTCGGCGGCTACAGTAATAAACGTAGCACCGCTCCCATCGAACACAATGAGCCTGAATACGGTAGTTCTCTTACTGTAGAGGATACTACTTTTTCCGTTACAGTATACGATCAGCGGAACGGATACGATGACGAGGAGGAGTATTACCACGACGATAGGCTCAAGGACGAGGAAGACGAGGATTTCGGCCACAATCCAACTTATAGGGACAATTTTGAGCCGATGCCCGGGACCTCGTCGGCCGACGATTTCCGGGAAGAGTACCGACAGCACTATCCTGGGTTCGTCATCTGGAGTTTCGTACGGAATAATCTTTTTGTTGAAGAGATTACTGGAATGAGCAGGAGCCGTTGTCTTACAACAGTCGGCCGCCCGATAGGAATGGAATGTTGAAAAAGTTGGTTTTTAGGAAAAAAATTTTTTTCTTGATGGTACTAGGGGAATATCCTGAAAGTCACATTTTGCGAACTTTCATGATTTTTTTAGAATTTTTAAGAAATTATAGCTCAAAAAAATGGCGCTAGTTTCAACTTTTTTTGGGGGCCATATTTGGTTTCAAAGCGTCGTATTCTGGTAGTTTTTTTTCAGGAACTATGAATTGAAAAGTGAATTTAACACCCTTGTGATCCAAAAAATTTCTCGATTTCAGTTCAAACAGTTCTTGGCGCGAATCATCATCGAGGCCAACCTCAACAACGGCGTTAGTTCATTTTCAGAAATTCTCATCAAAAAGTTAGGATTTCAGAGCAAATTACATGGATGATCCGAATCACTACGATGAAATCGATCGGGGGTCCAGATTATCCAGAGGTAGGGCTTGGAAAAATAATCGAAAAAATTCAAGTCTTGAAAAAATTTTTACTGTTTCACGATTTCGGGGGGACCTCTTGAATCATAACTTATGATTTTTTTTAAAGCTGATTTTCGGAAATTCAGACTCAATCTGAAAATTGTGATCTTCAGAAGCTAAAAAAAACGTGACAAAATATATAAAGTAGATCTTTTAACTTTGAAGGTTGCTGAAAAAATAAAGGGACACATCCTTTTTAGATCTAAGTGATCCTCTTCCAGATGAATTCCGGCGAACTTCTTCGGTGGAAAAATCCGACAGACGTTTCGACAGCGATGGGAGCCAACAAGGATCGCTTTATCCGCCTGAAGAGTTTGAAGAAAGGTCTTTACTATTTTATAAGCTGTTTATTTTGTGCATGCAGCGCAAATGCGCCCTCCTGTGATGACTATTTTATCATAATTAACTTCTTTAAAATCGCAATAATCCTTATTTCTTGGTTAATTTTACAGAAGACCCGAATCGCGGCACAATTGGCGGTACGACTCGATACAAGAAGAGGACAACGAAAAAGCGGACAGCTGGAAGGATAATTTGGACGAAAGTTGGAAACCCGTCGAAGATTGGCAGCAACATCAGGTTGACTCGAAAAAAAACAAGCTATAAATAGGTTCTCTGTTTCACGAAAAACGGGGTTTGAAATCAGAAAAATTTGTGTATGTTTGAAAAAGACTCGATTAGGAATTTCAGAGAATTTTAATTTGAAGGAAGCTTCAAGTGATTAAACTGGAGTAAAAATTTCAAAAAAATTGGAAAAATATGCGAAAAAAACCTTCAATGTACATGAGAGCCACCATACAATGTTTCAAAAAAATTTTTCTATAGATTTTTCCAGGCCGAGGATCAACGTCGTCGAAGTGTAGCCCTTGCCGAAGAGGATGACGTCAGTCGGCCAACGTCTTCTGATATGACGTCATCAGCACGACGTCAGCCAAGCCTGGAGCGTCAGGACGCCCACGTGGTCGGCAACGATATCGTTCGGTTCGGTTTTTTTTAGAATATAATTAATTTTTCAAACGCAAAATTAAAGAATTTCTATCTTTTGAAATTAAAAATCGCACAAGGATACATGGAGAAAACATCCCTTTCGAAAAACTTTGGGAGCCGATCAGAAATTAGAAGAGCTGCTCGAAAATTTTTGGAAGTGCTTGTAAATTCTATGGTCTGTGTGCCAAGACTTGGAATTTCACCGAACGACATTCCGCTGTTCCGCTGCGTCGCGAAGCGTCTTTGCGAGCCTCGGTCTCGCTTCGAACTGGTTCTCATTTCTGATAGATGAACTGTTCCACTAGGAACACGTGTTGGTCGAGTTCTTATAGCTGATTCACGGCTGGCTTGAGCCATCGAGAAAAGGGTCCTGCCACGAAAAGAGACGAGACAGTGCCTAGCTATTGGAGAGTGCAGACAGGCCACGCCTTTTTGCGTCCCAAGCTAGCCGTGAATCGTCTATAAGTAGAGGCGCGCAAAGGCACGCAGCGGAACAGCGGAATATACCACGACTTGGAATTTCACTTAACGACACTCCGCTGTTCCGCTGCGTGCGTTCGCGAAGCGTCTTTCGAATCTAGGTCACGCTTTCAATTGATTGTTATTGCTGTGTGGGCACATGAAAGTAGAGTACCTTAATAAAAGGAAAAAAATTGAAAGCGCGACCAAGGTGCGCAAAGGCGCGCAGCGGAACAGCGGAATGTCGTTCGGTGAAATTCCAAGTCGTGGTACACAGTATAAACACTTTGAGGCGCTGCTTGGAAGTGCTATAAAATTTGGAACTGCGGTGAAATTAGATCATTTTTCGTAAAGAGAAATTATAAAAGCTTATTAAAAAGGTCCACCAAAATTTTATTAGGTCTTAAAAAAGGAAGTTGAAAAAAATGCCTACAATTTTCTCGTTTCAGTCAAACGATCGAAGAAGAGGATGAGAAAAAAAATATGCACGAACTTTGGCATTGGGCCTACAAACAAGTCTGCAAAAACCTAGGGTTCAAGGTGTGTTTTTTTTTTAGAAGCGATAAAGAAACCAAAAATTAGTTTTTCGTGATTTTTTCCACCAAAATTTGAACAAATGGGGCCGTAAACTTGTTATTTTAACCACGTGCATGCTTTTCAGAAGTATATTTTTCAGGGAATTGGACTTTTTCGATAATTATCCCTGGAGTTTCAGGGAAATAATGGACTTTTTTCTGGGTCGCAATTGAACTTCTTACAAAGTAAAAAAGCTCAAAAAAGGAAATTTCATGAAGTTTTTGAAAAATAAGGTCTCTAGGAAGATTTCCTTCGAATCTCAAGCTGAATTTAGCCTATCCTTTTTTTTTCTTATTTTGAAGGTTTTTTTCTAAAAATCTTGATTTTCGAAACCTTCTGAGCTTGGCAATGAAGCATATTTCTTTATTTCGAGACAAAAAAATAGTGCAAAATGTAGAGTTTCATGACGTTTCCCCCTCAAAGTTCTAAGCATTTTTTTATCCGCGGATCAGCTCTTGTTATTGGAAAAAAACGGGCGGTTTTCGCTTTGTCTTACGTTTTCTGTTTCATTTCGAAACTTATTTTTTTCATGATAATTTTATAGTGGAGGATTAGATATCTTCCCTATTTTTTTAGTTTTTTTGTCTCTTATTTTATGATTGGAAAGATTTTAAATAACTAATTAATTTCTGATTAACCGATCAAATTAAAAGCCTTTTTTTGAGTACGGATGGTTTGACTCGTAAAAGATAAAAAAATAAAAAAATTTTATAAAAAAAGTGTGAATTTAAAAAGAAGAAAAAAATTTCCCATGATTTTTGGAGTATTGAAATATCGGTCAAACGAACAAAACTAATTTGTCGGGAAGCCGTAAATTACCGGGAAAACAAGAGATTTGCAAGTTTTTTGAAAGGTTTCTCCCATGATTTTTGAGATTTTGAATTAGGAGGATTGTTCATCCTCTTATGAAATCGTTTTTTTGAAATCGTGAAAAAGCGGAATTTTTTTCCAAGTTAGATAATAATTCCTCTTGAAATTTTTTTTTTCTTTTCATTCAGAATATATTTTTCAAATTTTTTAAATGAAGGTTTTCTATCAGATTGCAGAATAAATTTGAGGTTCATTTATGATTTTTTTGAGCACTATCGGGAAAAGTTTTTAGTGGCCACTCTAGGGGCTCGCCAAGGACTACTTGGAGAAGACACTAAAGTGGCCACTAAACCCGCCTCTATAGTGGCCACTATTTTCCGTTTTAGTGGCCACTTCAGTAGTTTTTCATCCAGTATTTTTTCCAACAACTCTGATAATTTTATTACAAACAGATTGGACCAGTTATGTTGATCCATTGACCCCTAAAGTGGCCACTTTAATTTTTTGTGGTCCATTAGTAGCCCTTAGACCTCTATAGTGGCCACTAATTCTTAACCTCTCAAGTGGCCACTAATTTGACTACTATAGTGGCCACTAAAACGTCAAAACCCTATAGTGGTCACTAAAATTTTTCCCAGTAACAGTTGGTTTCGTTTATTTTTTAAATTAATGGAATTTTCAGCCATGTTAATTCAAGAAGCCATTCAAAATCTTGCAAATCGGAATGCTATCACTATTTTTCTCGAAAAAGTACAAAAACAAGAAAAAAAGGCCCCACGAGATATATGTGTGTGCGTGTGTGTGTCACTTGTCACAACCATTGAAAAGGGTCAAAAATCGAAACATTTTTTTTTTCATTTTTTTTTCAACTCGTTGCCCTCGGGAATTCCATCCGCTTCGTTCCCCGAGTTTTCGGAGGCTTTCAAATTTTTTCTCCGCGAGCTTTTTGGATACCTATATTGTGCCATTGTCTCTATTGAAATGAATAATTTGACTTTTAAGGTGATATTTTTGGTTTTGACGTCGTTTTTCGAACTTGCTTTTAAAAAATTTGCATATTTTCTTAATTTAATACAAAGAGGGTTTAAGATTTTAATACCTGAAATAATTTTATTGAGGAATTTTCAATATTATAAATTCTTGAATTTCATTTTTTATCTCCTCGGCAAATTTTCCCTTCCTTTTCACATGACGTGGATACATTTATAATTGGCCAAATTTTTCCACACAAGTTCCTTGTTATTTTGCTCGAAAACGAGGCGAAAATTGCCTAACTTGCCTTGTAAGAAGCCTTTTCTGCAGAACTTTGCAACTTTTTCTCAACTTTTCGAATCGATTCTGACCTTTTGATTTTTCATTAAATGCTTTTTTCAAAAGAGGATTTCGAACTAGAAATATTTTTATTTGCTCTTAATAATTTCTGTGGAGCTGCTTTTGAGGGCTGCGAATAGATTTCATCTTCCAAGCTGGGAAAATTTTTTAGTGGCCACTATAGGGGCAAGGACTACTTGGAGAGGACACTAAAGGGGCCACTGAACCCACCTCTGTAGTGGCTACTATTTTACGTTTTAGTGGCCACTTCAGTAGTTTTTCATCCAGTATTCCTTCCAGTAGCTCTGATAATTTTAAAACTAACAGATTGGACCAGTTACGATGATTCATTGACCCCTAAAGTGGCCACTCAAATTTTAAGTGTTCTTAGCACTTAGACCTCTATAATGGCCATTAAATTTTAACCCCTTAAGTGGTCACTAATTTGATCGCTATAGTGGCCACTAAAACGTCAAAACCCTATAGTGGCCACTAAAATTTTTGTGGTCTAGTAGTAGCACTTAGACCTCTATAGGGGCCACTACTTTTTAACCCCTTAAGTAGCCACTAATTTGACTACTACAGTGGTCACTAAAAAGTCAAAAACCCTATAATGGCCACTAAAAGTTTTTCCCAGTGTGCACTTTTTTTAAAAATTATATGTACTAACAAAAGAGGATTTTTGAACTAGAAATATTTTTTTATTTCACTTTTTGGGAGCTGCAAATTTATTTCATCTTCCAAGAATCGAATTATTTTTTTCTAAAAATAATAAGAGTTCTCTGCCCTTTTTCTAACCGAAATCGTAGCCTTCAGCTCTAAAAATTTTTGTAGCTGTATTTTTGTACACTTCTGTCCTAGGACTTCTGGCCTCGTTTTGGTGTTTTTTTAGTGAGGAATTTTCTTTCTCTCGAAATCGTTGATTTTCACGAATTTATTCTGAAAAATTTATTAAAATTAATAACTTGACCTTATATTTGCATTACTAAAAAGAACGTTTTAGACGTCATTTTTTTATCATACTTTTTGAAAAAAAGTCACCAAAAACTTGATCACAATTATATATATTCTCAGAAATATTGCAGAAAAGAAAAAAAAAATGATGTAGGGAATGAGGTGAATAATCAAATTGGAAAACGAGTTGTTTTCCTCCCCGACTTTTTTTTTTCTTTTCTTTCTCATTTTCTTCATTTTTCACTTTAGTTAGGTTGGCTTCTTGCTTTTTTGAATTGAAGTTGTATAGTTAAAAAAAAAGGAACACTCGGGTGAAATATTTTTGACCGTATCTAGTAATTTTCCGGCTCAAAAAGTCAATTACTGAAGTTTATGGAACTTTTTCGAAGCTTTTGCGTCGAAAATGGCTTTCAAGGCTTCTGAGAAAATGTCTAGTGGCCACTATAGTAGTAAAATAGTGGCCACTTAAGGGGTTAAAAATTAGTGGCCACTATAGAGGTCTAAGTGCTACTACTAGACCACTAATTAGTGGCCACTTTAGGGGTCAGTGGATCAACGTAACTGGTCCAATCTGTTTGCTTCAAAATTATCAGAGTTACTGGAAAGAATACTGGATGAAAAACTACTGGAGTGGCCACTAAAACGGAAAATAGTGGGCACTACAGAGGTGGGTTTAGTGGCCCCTTCAGTGTCCACTCCAAGTTGTCCTTGGCGAGCCTCTAAAGTGGCCACTAAGAATTTTCCCGGAACAATTTCTTGAACTTGAGCTTTTCCAAAGGCCATCTTAAGCCTCATATCTCCACGGTTTTTGAGCTTTTCCCTCATCATGAAGTTGATTTCTAATGCTTTGAAGTCATTTTTTCCTGAAGAGATTATTTTTACACACGGATCTATGTGAAAGTATACGATATGACGCATTGGAAGATTTGAAAAATGCCCCCTTCTCTCGTTGGAGCGCAGAAATCGGATTAAATTCGCCCCCAAGGCGCAATGTTTTCAGGGGGCCGGAAAAGCTTATGAAATTCGATGCTCCCAAGGCACACGATTCCTTTTACACTTTTTCCAATCGGTTTATTAGTTTGCCAGTATTGAAATTCACTTGCGGAGGAAGTGTTCGCGTTTTAGAGATGCTTTGAAAATTTCTTTTTGAGCCGATTTTTTGGGATTTTTCTGTAGAAAAAAGCGTTTTTTGATTCGAATCCCCTTCAGCTTATTATTGCTTTGATTTTAGTTTATTTTTGTATATTTCAAGATTTTTTCCAGCAGTTTAAAGCAAACATGAAGCGTAAGGAATCAATGAAAACTTGAAAAAATGGCTCAAAAATATGTCAAATTTCTCGGATAAATTTTTATTACAAATTATTTGTGCCTGATTTAGGAACTCCATAGTGGTCCCTTTAGAAGTCAGGTAAAAAATTCCCTATAGGGACCGAAAAAAGTGGTCCTTATAGGGGGGATCAAGGCGGTTCTATAAAAGTTTAGGGTCTAACCCTTAGCTTTTCAAGCTTAAGTGGTCCCTATAGGGATTTCGAGTCTGACCCCTTCACCCCTAAAGCTCAAGTGGACCTTATAGGGTCTCTCAATTTTATTCAAAAAAACGTTTTTTTTCTCAGTTTTTCGTATGGAAATGCTTCTTAGAGTTTGTAAAAATTATCTACTACTATTTTCCCTATAGGGACCACTTACTAAAATCCCTATAGAGACCACTTTTTCAAGATTTAGTGGCCACATTTGCCAGATTTCCCCATTTTTTTTATTCAAATTTTATTTTTTTGGTTTTTCTAGAGTTATTACAATTTGAATTTCATCCAAACTTTGAAATTAACAAAAAAAAAAGAAATTGTAAACAACCCGGGGAAAAAGTGTGAACTAAGAAATCATCTGTCAGCGTTGCCAGTGGTAACATCTAATTGCA